ATGGACACAGGCCGGCACCCCACCCTCTCCCAGGGGTCACTGAGGGCCGGTTCTCCTTCCCCACCCACCTGTGAGGATGGCATTCCTGCCCAGCGGCCGGGGCCGCAGCCTGGTCCCCTGCCCAGGTCCGGTAGGCAGCAGGGAGCAGAGCAGGACGGACGTGGGCCGGCCTGGACTCGGTGACGAGCTCCAGGTGGCACCGTGGGAGGGGACGGCCCATTAGGTGCCTGCAGCAGCCTTCTGTGGGGTGCTGACCCTCAGCCCGTGCGTCCACGGGCCCCTGGGAGCGGGCCTCGGGGGCCTGCAGGAGCCAGAGGTGTCAGCAGAGCACTCAGGTCCCTCTCTGTCCCCAGGACGCCTTCCAGGAGGAATACTACCGGACGGGCACCTTCCCCGAGACGCCCATGGTGCCCTCGAGGCGGCCCTGGACGCTGCTCAACTGGCTCTTCTGGGCCTCGCTGCTGCTCTACCCCTTCTTCCGCTTCCTCGTCAGCATGGTCAGCAGCGGGTCCTCCCTGACGCTGGCCGGCTTTGTCCTCGTCTTCTTTGTGGGTAAGTGGCTGGCGGTGCAGGTCGAGGGGGGACAGCTTAGCGGGTGTGGGGTGCTTGAGGGGCACAGCCTGCAGGCCGCCAGGGAAAACGTGACTCCAAGCCCCATCCACCGAGCCCCGGGGTTAGGGAGGCGTGGCTGCCTCAGGCGCAGGGACACGGCCTCTGGGAGGGACAGCCTGGTCCCGGCTCCCAGCTCCCTGGACACAGGCTCCCCTGGGCTCCTCCACTTCCTCTGTGGGCCAGTCCTGCGGCCGAGGAAAAGCTTTGGGGGGGGAGGGTGGAACTCTGCCTGTTCACGGCTCTAATACTTGCCCCCAGGCAATGGGGAGGTGCCTGGCACTCTACGTGTGAGCTCCCACTCTCCAGGCTCCAGTATGGGCCTTACTAAGCTCCCCTGAAGGGTGCCCCCAAGTCCCACCCTGAGTCACCAGACTCTTGTGCCTTCCGTAAGCCCACGTGCAGCGGGCCAGGCTTGCCATTCTGATCTCATGTGGAGGCTCAGACCCTCGGCCAACACAGCCTGGCCGTCCCTTTGTGGCGCTTGGTTCAGCTGCGCTGTGCCCGCGCTCCCGGGGAACGAGGCCTGGAGGATGGATGGCACCCAGACCAGTCAGCTCTGCTGGTGCCAACAGGTGTGCGGACAGCGGCGGAGTCCCCGCAGCCTCCTCACACCCTGCCCTTCCCCTGCAGCTTCCATGGGGGTCCGATGGATGATCGGCGTGACGGAGATCGACAAAGGCTCCGCCTACGGCAACATGGACAGCAAGCAGAAACAGAGGGACTGACTCAGGACACGCTCCGTCCAGAGCGGACCTTGGGGAGCGGGTGGGCGCTATCTGTCCCTCCCGGTGCGACCCAGCGAGGGCGCTGGGGGAGTCCCTGCTGGGAGGCAGGGCCTCTATTCTCCACGCCGCTGGATGGGGCAGAAGACGTGCTTTGATCCGTCCTTCCCCGTGTGCAGTAGTGGGTTCCGCTTCTCTTTCCCTGTGAGTGCGTGCGTGCGTAAGAACACGAGGTGAGGGTGCGAGGCTGCCTGCCAGCCCTGTCCTGTGATCGTGCCTCGGTGTCTGGTGCAGGGGGAGGGCAGGGAGGGGAGTCCCTTTCATCCTTTGGTGCTGTTTTCTGTAGCCGATTGCCAGGTAGAGCCAAGGCGCTATAGGGAAGATGATTAAATTATGCCTCCAAAAAAAGCATTCAAGTGTTTGGCTCCTCTGTGGTGCGTACACAGACCCCTCCATCCTTCCACGCGGTCAGGCAGACACGGTGTCTAACCATTTCTCAGCTCAGGTCAGCCCTGCGGACACCCAGTGAGGCAGAGACCAGCACACAGTGTGACTGCGACGGGAGAGCAATGCAACTTGGGGGCAGGGAGTTTCAGGCACTTCCTCTAGTCTAGTGACTTCATTCAAAACACCAGCCACCTGAGACGGGCAAGCGTCCGCCTGGGAGCACGGAGCTGCGCACCTGTGGGCTAGTCCAGTGGTCGGCAAACTGCGGCTCGCGAGCCTCATGCGGCTCTTTGGCCCCTTGAGTGTGGCCACGAAATTTCAATCGCACTGTACATGCGCGCCCCCACGTGGTATTTTGTGGAAGAGCCACACTCAAGGGGCCACAGTTTGCTGACCACTGGGCTAGTCTATCCCCTAGTTTACGTCTGTAGAGAGCACACACCTGTTCATAAGAGCAGTCATGCTGGAACAGCTCTTGGCCGCTGTATTCTCTAAACAAATACATGCAAAACCTTGTAAAAGTAGCTACTGATGTTTCAAAAATTAAAAAAACACATTAGTGTGTTTCAAATAGTCATAAGTGGATCTGAAAACAGGGACTTCGACGTAAAATCCCGGGACAATTGTGCAGCCGAGTTCAGCAGCAGGTGATGTAATGCACACAGAAAGGGCCTGGCAGCCCTGGCTTCTCCTGGCTGGTCCCCAAGCAAATCAGACTGCGGGTGCAGGGGCTTCCCAATCACTCGGATGGTAAGATGAGGGCGGAGGGGCAGGGGGGGAAGAGGCACTGCTCCGCGCCCGGCCGTTAGCCCCACCTCGAGGTGCCGGCTGGACCGCCCCACGTGCAGGCGCAGCTTGCTGGTGGATAGAAGATGGTCTCAGACCCGCTCCCTCCGCCCCTGGCAGTGCACGACCCTCCCCTGCGCCAAGGCTCGGAGCCTGCAGGACCCCGCGGTGCCCACCGCCCGCCCAGGGACACGGGCTGAGCGAGCCCCGTGCCAGGGCTCACTGGCCCTGAGGCTGACAAGCTTATAAAAGATAAGGCAGCTGCGCTTTCCTAAAATAAACCATTTATTGAAAAAAGAGCCTTTTTCTTCAATTTCATTCATCAGCCTTTTGCTGACAGACCTGTGGCCGCCGCCGCCCAAAGGGCAGGTTCACAGTCAGTGCACTCGACAGGCGAGAACAGGCCAGGACCGGGGACCGCGACCTGCTCGGAACCAGGGCGGTCAGCGCACTACAGACGTCCCGGGTCCGTCCCCGAAGAGCGGTGACGAGGCGGCGGTCCGTGTACAGTAGAAATGGCACTTAACATGGAGCTTCTTTCCTCGTGGACACTGTCACTCAGGAGGCCCCGCGCCGGGTCGACCCGCAGGAGCAGCCCAGCCTGGAGGCGGGAGGCCGCGCTCTTCCAGCACAGCCTTCATGTAAATGTTACATACAGTAGCGATGACGTCTTCCGAGCGCACACCAGCCACGGCGGCTTCGCGTCATTCCTCATCGGTGCAAACCTGCAGGAAGGCAGGAGACAGCTGAGCCCAGCGCGCTCCGAGACCACAGGCAGACGCGTCCCGTGCCCCGCGGCACCTGGTGAGGGGGGCTCCGGGCACAGGGACCGGGTGCTGTCACTGCTCCAGGACTGACCACTGACCGCTCCAAAGGACGCGTTTACAGCAGCAGGTCGGCCGGGGCAGCTCTACACGTCTCAGTGAAGCAGCACATTCTTTAGTTACAAAGCCCAATAGCAGGCCCAGCTCCGGTTCCTTAGCCTCGCTCACCCCGAGGAGGGCACCTGTGGGTCCGTAGCCTCGTTCACCCTGAGGAGGAGGAGGAGGGCACCAGGGCACCTCCCTCCGCATCAGAAGCTCCCTGGCGGGCAGGCCCTCCCCGGCTTCCTCCTGGGCTCCATCCCTCCCTCAGCGCTCTCCCAGCACCATCTGTCCCCATTCTCTCGGGTGCCAGCTCCAAATACCCAAGGCCTCACTGAATCCCCAAGCAGGTGCTCCCACACACCTCAAACCTCATCTCCCAAGAGCAGCCATCACCTCCCTGACCTCAGCAGCAGCCTCTGTACCTGCCCTGGCGAGTTCCTACCCCGGGACCCAGCCCAGTCTGAGAGCCACCCTAGCTCCTCCCCTGCACTCACCGTCACACTCAGGGAGTTTTCATGGCTGTTTTAGCTCCAACATCGCTGATAACACCTGACCTCCACGCCCAACCCGTGAGCTCTACCAGCAGCTCCCTGACCAGCCTCTCGCTCACTATTCAGTAGGTCACACTGGCGACGAGCTGCCGTTCCTCCTCGGCCCTGCCCCGCTCTGTGTTGTTCACATCCTGTGCTGGCAGCACCCACTCACCTCCCCCCACAGTTCCTGGCAGTTCTTCCCTCCTAGCAGTGTGCCTGCCCCGCCTCTCCCCCTCCGTCTGCCTCCCCACCCCATTCCAGAGCTGCCCAGGGTGAGTGAGGTTAAGGAACCACAGGGCCTGGCCAGAGGGACGCCCGGGATGACCGGACCCGACCACAGCGCCACACCGTGACCACAGCGCGGACGTCCGCATCGCTCGAGCCTCGACTCCTCAGTGAGGCCAGTCGCGGCTAACCTGTTCTCAGGCAGACCACACGCCCAGCAGGGAGCACTGTCACCACCCAGCTCCAGCGCCCTTCACAGTCCAAGGGCACCTCTACCACCACCAAAATGGATCAAGCGGGAGAACCACATGAACATGTTCCAGAAAAAGCCATACACAGAATTCCCAGGCATAACTGAACGCCCCCTTCCATCAGATGTAGACATTTCCTGTTTAAGAGCCAGCTGCAAGCAGAACGGGAGCCGCGTGGGGAGCCGCGGGCCAGCGCACCTTGACGAAGGAGTGGTCGAGGAGCTGGCTGGCCGTCCAGCGCAGCCGCGGCTCGCTCTCCAGGCAGTGGGAGAGGAAGTCCTTTCCCTCCAGGCTCAGCCGCTCAGGGATCGGGGGCTTGTGCCCCATGCCCACTTTATACATGATCTGAAAGTTGTGCTCATATTCATGCCAAGGCCTCTAGAAAGAGAAAAAATCAGGTTTGAGTACTACATGGTCATAAAAAAGGGCAAATTCTCCATCTTTGTTTAGGCATCTCCACATGCAGAGTGTCCTCCAACAAGTGTGAACAGACCTTAACAGCTGAGCTCAATTTTGAAAATGAAATGTATGTTTATAAACACCACTTTTATAACTACTCAAAGTGTGCATATACATTTCAGGGGACACCCTATATACATCAGGAGCTGGCAAACTTACTTAAAGGGTCTAATATTTAATAGTAAATATTTTAGCTTTTGGCCCCATGGTCTCTGTCACCATCCAATTCTCCCATCGCAGCAGGAAAGCAGCCTCAGACCACATGTACGTGAGGGGTGTGGCCATGGTCCAGTGAAACGATTTGCACAGCAGGGCGGACACAGGCTGCCTCCCCATGTGCTGTCCATCCAGCATCATCGAGATGCCATCATCATGCAAGTAAAAAATGCAATACATAAAATGAAATGAAAATGTCAATAAACCAGAATTCAACAGTTATCGTTAGGGATGTTTTTAATATGCTAGCTTGCTGAATGATGAGCCTCAAATGCTATTACTGCAAAGCTTATTTTATTATGGTCACAGGAAAAATGAGATTCAGGGGAGAAACAATTAAGCCTGTTATGTCATCTTTATTTGTGTACCACTGTTGATTGTGACATGTGAGAACTCCCTCTTTCTCTGATGTATGGCTGGACTAACGTAACAGGTATCATGGCCATATTTCTTTTCCTTATTTTTTAAAAAATATATTTTATTGATTTTTTAGAGAGAGGAAGGGAGAGGGATAGAGAGTTAGAAACATCGATGAGAGAGAAACATCGATCAGCTGCCTCCTGCACACTCTCTACTGGGGATGTGCCCGCAACCAAGGTACATGCCCTCGACCGGAATCGAACCTGGGACCCTTGAGTCCGCAGGCTGATGCTCTATCCACTGAGCCAAACCCATTAGGGCTTTTCCTTATTTTTTAACATTTTTTTTTTAATTGATTTCAGAGAGGAAGGGAGAGAGAGACAGAATCATTGTTGAGAGAGAAATATCAATCAGCTGCCTCCTACACGCCCCCTACTGGGACTCAACTCGGGCATGTGCCCTGACCGGGAATCAACTGGTGACCTCCTGGTTCATGGGACAACGCACAATCCACGGTGCTCAATCCACTGAGCACACTGGCCGGGCACGGCCATCTTCTTTGTTAAAGATAACAGAAATAATGTCAGCGAACATTTATTAAGCATTTTGTGTGGTCTTTTTCAGCAGCTGCAAGGTATAGCTGTATATTGATTTAATTTCCTATTAACACTTAAGAGGTCTCTAACTTTTTTGTTTTACAAATAATGCCACACACACACAGCATCTTTATACATTTGTGAATGCTCATTAATGTATCTTCCCGAGAAGATGGATTTTCAGATACGGTACCACGCGGGAGTTCCACTGCCCTAGCAACCCTGGCGCTGAGCCTGTCCGCCCCTCCCGCGCCCACACACACCCTGGTCCCTTCCTGCCTGGGTGGTGTGCGGCCTTGGCCTTCACGGCAGCCGCCTGCACCAGCAATCCGCTATGGGGGCTCCTCCACACCGCTCCACAGCGCGACAGGGCATTTTTACCGCTGCATCATATTCCGCTGCACAACCACCAGAGTGTTTATCCACTTACCTGCTGACGGGGCCTTGGCTGCTTCTAAGCCTGGGCGACTATGAATAAAGTTGATTTATGTGCCAGTTTTGTGTGGACAGGAGTTTTCCACTTCATGTTTCTTTTTGTATCTGCTTACTTCTCCATGTTCTAACTCGGGCTTTATGCTTTTGTTCACTTCTAAGAGTTCTCTAAATGATAGATCTTATATTTGATTCCTAGTCGTCACCTGTCTTAACCTTGCTCTACTTGACAAGAACAGTGTTTCTAATGATAATATAACAGGGTGCCCCCGCAGTTTCCCCTCCGGGGGGGCTCTGCTTACCTTGCCAGTCACCATCTCTATGACGACACACCCGAGGCTCCAGATGTCGGCCGCACGCCCGTGACCTTCTCCCTTCGCACGAGTGATGACTTCAGGAGCCATGTACGCTGTGAAAGTCACAGACGTGATGATAGGAATGGCTTATCAACACAGCACCATAGAGCAGAGCCAGGCAACCTCATACATTCCACATGGAAAAAATAACAGTATGTGAAGGGGGAACTTCCCCCAATTACATACTAGGAAACGGAAACTTGAAAATAGGTATTTCAAATCAATTTCTTGAATGGACGTTTTTAGGGGATGAATTATCTTCTGAAAGAGTTTTTGAATGCATACATTTTCAGATAAATTGTATTCACAATGAAAATATAAAATTTAACCTGCAACGGAGGATGTAGAAGTTTATGATACTAAATGACTAAAACAAGTAATTACCATTTAAACGTAATATTGTTTTGACTAGAATACTTTTAATACGCCCAATGTGAAGGGGCAAAAGGCCCCCCTCCTCTGACTCCCAGGGAACCGTGACTTCTCCGCCTGACAGTGCTTTCAGGAGGCCGGTGTCTGCGGGCGGGGTCCCTGGCGGGTTAGAACGACCTGCTGTCCAGGTCAATGCAGACAAGAGGCAGCGGGAAGGCCGGTGCCCAAGCACCAGGCGGGGAGGAGTCTGTGCAGAGACAAGAGCCAGGCCCACCTGCGGTCCCCAGCGTGCTGTTCACTTCCCCGGGCATGGTCTGGGCGTTGTTTTTAAGCTTCACCGAGCACCCGAAGTCTCCCAGCTTGATCAGCCCCGAGGAGGTAAGGAAGATATTGGCGCCTGAGGAAGAATAAGTTTACAGGTGATATGGTTACCTAGACTACAAACGAAGTGATAGAAGGGTTTATGAAACTATGAACAAAATGTAAGCCTACAAGGGTTTTAAGCTTTATTCACAAACATCATCAACACAAAGCAAAGCAGTTTTAACATCAGTGCAGATTCCGTGACCAATACTTTCTGAGCTGAAATACGTGCACAGATCCCAACACTAAAACCCCAGAGCTACTTGGAGACGTTACTGAGAAAACACAGGCCTGAGGTGGCAGCCCTGAAAGTGAGAGTTGTACACAAGTAGCAGCTCCTGGATCGGGTAACCACGTGCAGACGAGAGCTGCACCCACACTGTCCTCATGGCCTGATGCGGCCACACTGCACGGATCTTAGCCGGTGACGGAAAAGACCGTCTGTAACTGTGTCCCGTTGGGCCTCCCCCGTCCTAGGGCCGCTGGGCCTTTGCTACAAGGTCTCACCGCTCCACTCGAGCCTGCATCTCTCCTCTCCGGGTCCTGGGGAACCACCTTGGCAAAGCAACGCAGCCACTTGGGTTAGACAAGCAGCCGTGCGAGGAGCTGCGGTCTCAGCCAATCCTCGTGGCCTGGGTGCTCCCTGTGCAGGTGGCCCCGTGGGGGATGACCCCCCCCCCCCTGCTGACGCGGTCATTCCGGAGCTGGTCCATACAGCACATGGCCATTGCCAATGACATGAAGGTTCCACTTCATGACAGTGGACAGAGGCTGAGGATGATATTTATGGCAAAGCTGGAAATGGGTAATGCCGGGACCTGGCATAGAGCCAGGTGGAGACCGCGTGTGCAGGGAGCAGGGAGAGCAGCACCGGGAGCGTGGGTGCCTCGCCCCACACCAGGGGGGAGTCAGCCAGCGCTGGAGTGAGCGTGGTCAGACTGGCCTCAGACTCTGCCACAGGACGGGACCCTCAGTCAAGGGCCATTAGAGACAGAAGCGATTTGTTGCTTTATTATCCCCAAGATGCCCAGACACATAGGTCAGGGCCACGGTGTGCCAGGCACATGCCCTGAGGCAGACGCATGGCTGCCCTGCGCCCGGGAACGCATTACATCCACCAGTGTGAGCGGTCAGCCCTCACAGCGCTCCCTGGACGAAGCCGGGACGAGCCGCCCGAGTCAGCAAGCAGCCACACACGGGGCTGCTCATCACGACCGGCTCAGCGTTTCTGACTCACGGCCACGCTGCACTCAGGACATTCAAACACCAAGACAGGCCGCATGGCACCAGGGTTACCTTTGATGTCGCGGTGCACTATGCCGTGCTCGTGCAGCACGTTGATGGCCACGGTGATCTGCTTGGAGTAGAGCCGGATGACGTGCTCCTGCAGGCCCAGCCGGGACACCTCCTCCAGCGTGCCCTCGTCGCAGTACTCCATGAAGATGTACATCTCCTCCTGCGGCAACGAACGCAGCGCGTGGGCACGCGCACAGTGCAGGTCGGACGGCGCCACGGGCATCTCTGTCTAACGGACTGCACACTCGTCGTCCTGCCCCTAACTCGTCCCCGACAGCAGTGCCTGCGCCTGTCTGGAACCGCACGGCCCTTCGGGAGAAGCGCACCTCCAAGTCACAGGGATACATATCCACGTCCCCCAAAACGAAGCCGCCATGTAATCTCAGACAGGGGCCAGCAGGGCTGCCCGATCCTACATTAGCAAGTACTGAAATGCATCCTCTTCAAATAGGAATCTAAGTGTGAAACCTCAAAAATCACCGACATCCAACTTCCCTGCCAACTCCTCATCCACCGGGATGCTCCACTCCTCTCCTCAGTGTTGTTTCTAAACACGGAGGAAAACCACGGCGCGGCTGTAACTTCTCTCACTTCACACGGCTCCTGAACACACACAAGACAAAGTGCTGCCGCTTAACGACGCCCTGAGTGCCGCAGCCGGAGGAGGAGAGGAAGGAGCGGGGAGGCCCTTCGGAGAACCTGTGCTGGCGGGATGGCGCTCAGTGCTCGGCGCTGGCTACTGTCGGGTGCACTACAGGCTACAACTTACACTTCGGGAAGAACTCCTCTCGTGTCAGAGAGAAGGCAGCAATGGTAACGCATGAGATTTCCTGGTAACTAGGAAAGCGACTCCGCAATGAGAAGGCCTGTGATGTAGACAGGCCTCCCAGCCCCCCTGGCTGCGCCACGCTGTGCTCGAAGCCGCCTACCCTGTGCAGCTCCACTCCAAAGTAGCGCACCAGGTTGGGGTGCTTGATGCCCTCGAATATCTTCAACTCGTCCGCGGTTTCCTTGATCGTCTTGTGGTCGTTGGGCTGAAACCGGATCTGTGAGAGGCAAGCTGCCGATTACTGAGGGTGCGGTCGCAAATGAGCACAGGCAACGTTAAGCATGGGCAACGTCGAGCACGGGGCTGTAGACACGCTCACTGTCCAGACCCCAGGACCATGCCGGGGTCTGCGACTTCACTCCCAGGCTTTCTCTCCGAGGTTTCCCAAAGGAATTAAGTGCGCCCACTTCAGACTATCTGGTGAAGCGACAGCTAATGGAACCATTTCACAACTGCAGACTGAAGGCACAAAACCCTGAACAGTCGGTGAGCAATCACCGGTGTCAGGTTGCGGGCAAGATGCAAAGCTAAGGCAGATTCTGCCCTTCAAGGTTGGCACCAGGAGGCTGGAAGGAGGCTACAAGCACAGTGGGAGGTGCCAGGCTGGGCAGAGAAGTGCATTAGGCGCCCCAGAGAGGGGGTGTCAGCAGGCAGGACGCCCCAGCCTCTTCTGCCACTGCCCCCACTTCTGAGCTATGAGGCCTCCCCTCGGTGACAACAGCCTTGGTTTCCCTGAGGGCCCATCCTCAGGTTTCCCTTTCGTCCCCCTTGACCCCCAGCTGAGAAGATGCGGTCATTTCTGAAGTTGATCACAAATGTTACCTTCTCCCCAAAGACCCTGTGAAATGCTGCACCCCCTCCTCCAAGCTTTCCCCACACCCCCGTCCCCGCGCGGCACGGCCCAGCATGGGGGGAGACCTGCTGCGCTCCTACTCACTCACTGGGCCCCGACCTCCTCGCTCTCAGTCACCTCAGTGCGCTGCCCCGCGGGCCCCACAGCACAAACGCTAAAAGCAGCTGCAGACGACTCAGCGCCCCAGTGAAGCCAGCGCCACGCACGAACCTGAGAAACACACGCTTCTTTACCAAATCTCCACCCAGAGGCGTCAGACAAGCAGGCCGAGGGCCACTCACCTCCTTCATGGCCATCAGCTCGCCCGTGTCAACGCTGATGCAGGTGTAGACCTTCCCGTACTGCCCTTCTCCTGTGAAGGGAACACACAGGCAGCTCTCGGTCACGCCAGGCCGCGTTCGCGCGCCAACGGGACTCACCTTCCCCAAGTCGGAGCTGTTCACAGCCCCTAACTGTGCTCACCGAAGCAACGACTGCAAGGCCCCCCGAGGTGTGCACGTCCCTAGTAACCGAGGTCCTAGGCCAGCCCTTCACGGCTTCCCCGTGAATGTCTGCAGACAGACTGCACCTGCCTTTGGCAAACCCCGCAGAGGCTGAAGGCGCGCGCACGCACCCTGGTCGTGGCCCCGCAGAGGCCTGAGGGCGAGCGCACGCACCCTGGAACGGGTGGGGGTCAGGCTGCCCGAGGCCGAGAGTCCTGGACCACAGCTGCGCTTCCTCTTCAAACCCAGATGCTCGGCAGGTAAATGCATGGAAGTGGGAGGACCTGAGGGACAGG